CCTTTATCACAGTTTACAAGAAGTGAAACATGTTAGAACTTTTTTCTTACAAGACATTGTGATTGTCGTACTACCCTTTATCACAGTTTACAAGAAGTGAAACATGTTAGAACTTTTTTCTTACAAGACATTGTGATTGTCGTACTACCCTTTATCACAGTTTACAAGAAGTGAAACATGTTAAAACTTGTTCTTACAAGACATTGTGATTGTCGTACTACCCTTTATCACAGTTTACAAGAAGAGAAACACGTTAAAACTTGTTCTTACAAAACATTGTGATTGTCTTTCATTTTTTCTCTTGCCGTTACCTTCAAAGAAATGTTCACTTTATTGTAATATATGCCAAAAAATTTTATCATCAAATTAATTTGTTGTACACACAGTTAACTCACCTTCTATTCACCGATACAATATAGTCAGTAAACTCACCTTCTATCCACCAATGAAATATACAGTTAACTCACCTTCTATTCACCGATACAATATAGTCAGTAAACTCACCTTCTATCCACCAATGAAATATACAGTTAACTCACCTTCTATCCACCAATACAATATACAGTTAACTCGCCTTCTATCCACCAATACAATATACAGTTAACTCACCTTCTATCCACCAGTACAATATACAGTTAACTCACCTTCTATCCACCAGTACAATATACAGTTTACTCACCATCTATCCACCATTACAAGATACAGTTAACTCACCTTCTATCCACCAATACAATATAGCCAGTTAACTCACCTTCTATCCACCAATACAATATACAGTTAACTCACCTTCTATCCACCAGTACAATATACAGTTAACTCACCTTCTATCCACCAATACAATATACAGTTAACTCACCTTCTATCCACCAGTACAACATACAGTTAATTCACCTTCTGGACTGGACAGTAAATTTTCATTAATGAACCAAAAAAACTAATTCATCTTTTGGATCGAAAGGATTATAGTAACCACTTTATTATAGACAAATGAATTTCTCTTTTATAGATACGATAATCTAAACCATCACTCATATATTTCAGAAAACTATCTCTACTTATAAACTCAACAAGTTAACCATGTTCCTCATATTTCATAAAACTAATTTTCTTAGCCACCATAATACATATTTCATAAAACTAAATTTTATATCAAAAATAAAATATTCTTTGTCAATAAACCTGTAATGGTGTCTTCTCGAATATTTAACAAATTCCAAGTGACATATGTTTGCCATGACTGTTGTAAAAATAAGTAAAGAATTTGGAATTATTGAAAAACCGCTTTAGACTGAAACTAAATGTAACATATAATAATGTACAATTATTAAATAACGATATTTCTTTCAGGAATGACAG